CGAATGTTGGCGATCATCATGGCAATCTTTATCTTATCTACAGCAGCGCGGAAAAGCTTCACATGTGTTGTATTAAACCAGATTCTAACGTTTTTTAATCAAGATGTTCTTCTTCTTTCTGGACCTCGTTTTCCAAATATTTTTTCTTGCAGGATGGCTTGAAGGAGAGCATATTATCTGGATTTATTTCGCGTAATATGGCCGAAGAACTGTACCTTTCGAGATTTTATGGTGGTCAGTACCTCTCGGTTCTTATTAACTCTTCTGAGAACCTCCTCATTTATGACTCATTCAGTCCACGGGATCTTAAGCATTCTCCGATATAGCCACATCTTAAATGCTTCCGGTTTTCTGAACATATCTACGTTGAAGGTACATGATTCAACACCACAAAAAAGGACAGAGAATACGTAGCATTGCAGCATTTTTACTTTTGTATCAAGAGAGAGGTCTCTTAAAGAAGGCCCTCATTCAATTAAAGGTAGATCTAGCTTCTTCAATGCGTGATCTAATCTGGTTGTTATTCCATTCTTCCTTTATTGTGGTGCCAGATAGTTGTAGTGCGTCACTTTTCTACAAGGGATTATTTGACGTAAAGTTGACCTTATGTTATCATTTTCTTGCTAATTATCATAAGCTTTATCTTATTAACATTTATATTGAGTCCATATTGTTGACTGTAATAAGTGATTTTGTTCATAAGAACTTATAGATCTTATAAGTTGTCCGCAAATACTATGAGGGCATCTGCATATTTGATGTTATTTAGCCGGAAACCATTTAGTAGAATACCCTTCTCAGTTTGGTGCAAAGTTTCGTGCAAATATTCTTTTAGAGTACAGATTGAAAATTAGAGGAGACAAAATACAGCCTTGCCTCACTCCACGCATGATTATCACATAGTCAGTATGTTCACCTTCAACTTTGAGATTTAATGTCTGATTCCAGTAAAGATTTCTAATTATTTTCAGATCTTTATTGTTAATTCATGTTTCTTTTAGTATTTACATCATCTTGGCGTGCTGTACTCGATCAAACGCTTTCTTGAAATCAACCCGACATGCGTTTTGGGTTGTTATTCCCGACATATCGATTTTGATATTTTAAAATCGATGATTTTTATTATATAATTATATTGATATTAAAATTTCTATCGAGAAAAAGCTCCGAAATAAAAACATAATCGCTTAAAACTTCGTTGCAAATGCTTAGATCGGTTCTACCTCAGAAATCACTACTTTTCACCTTTTTTTTTAATATAAAACGTCTTGCGGAGGTATTTTCAATGTTGTTTCTTGAATTTAATTTGAGCTGATAGTTGCCAAGATGCCATTTATTTACAAGCCAAAAAATTGTTTACAATTAGTATATTATAAAGTATTGCTGAGGCCTTCAAATAATCAAATTTGATTTAAATAATTGAAATAAAAGAGCTGATTAACGGCACTGAAAAATTTAAATATTTAGGATTCATACTCTCAAAAAATGGAACTACCGAGCTAGAGATAACCAGCAGATTAGCACAGACAAGAACATGTATTAAACAAATGAACGGGGTACCGTAGGACAGATTACCAGAAATACAAAGAAGATAGGAGAAGGAGAATTTATAACACCTTGTTATGCAGTATAATGACCTATGGAGCAGAGAATTTGGTAATAAATAAACGAAACAGGTATAAAATCACAGCAACTGAAATGGAATTCATAAGAAGAAGCTGCAGAGTGGCAAGAATAGATCGCATCAGAAATGAGGAGATAAAACGAAGAATGGCAGTAGAACAAGACATACTCAGCTACATCGAAGAAAAACATTTAATTTGGTATGGACATGTGAGAAGAACAGATCATACAAGGTGGATAGCAAATATTTCGGATTGGAGTCCAATAAGAAGGAGGAAAAGAGGTAGACACCGAAGATCATGGAGGGATGAAGTGGACGAGGCCATGGAAAGACGAGACCTTAGAGATGGAGAATGACAGAACAGAAAGGACTGGAGACGTTGACTGAAAGAAGGAAGGCGGCGACAGATGTGAAAATCCTTATATAGATAGATAGATAGATAGATAGATAGATAGATAGATAGAAATAAAAGAGATTTTTCATGATCATTCATCTGTGGCCCTGGCAACATATCCTATCCTAACCTAATTCTTTTGAATACGTCCATAACACCAGTTTTGCTCCTAACTATGATTACCTACATTGACGTTTACTCCTATGTTTGATTTGAAAGTTTGTCTTCAATGCGATATATTCAATATTGACTTCTCCATAGCTCTCTGTGCTGCTTTTATCTCATCGATTACTTTTTTTGGTAAGGGTCAATGTTCTTAATCCATTTGTTAGAACTGAAAGTACTTACACAAAACTTCTGAAGCCACTTTCTTAGAGCATTTCTTAGAATTCTTGATCAGAGAAAATACAAAAGATGTAAAAAGGTAAGTAAATAATCGCAGTTTGGTTTTAAGGGTCAGTTAGGTACCAGAAAGGCACTATTTTGTATGCAACTCCCAATAAAAAAGTGCAACAATCACAGAGAAGATGAACTCCTTTGTTGTAACGACTACCAAAAATCTTTTGATAATGTAAGCCTTTTTCCATTCTACATAGTACAGGTGTCGACAAAAAAGACCTTCAGATTATTAAATCCTCTAGTAGAATCAGATGGATAAACTTAAAATTAATAAATCTTTATCCATTAAGCATGTACAAATACTCGAAGGTGTTGGTTTAGTTATGATTATGGTAGATCGATGTAGAACTTATTTATGAATCCTTCAGACATCTAGACCACCTAGGACGGTCCATTGTTTCACGTAAAATATCATGTAAAATAAGCTCAAAAGGACCTATTCTTCGGCGTTTTTGGAGCCCAGTCTGTTTTGGACTCCCATATCTGCAGTAATTAGCACGAGCTTCAAGTCTGAGCCCTTTCTGTCGTTCTAAACGACTAATTTTTAGTAGCCTTGTAGCCTCATAGAGATCCACAAGTCTCTTAAAAAGGATAACTTTCTCATTTGTCTTGATTGCATAAAGATTGAACCCAGGATATGCCACCTCTAGTAGGGCAGTGCCGGGCACTTTTAGAGGATATGTGAGGATGTTTCCTCCTTTTCAATACAAAAAAACGGCACCGTGGACTATCCACCGATCCAAGCTGATGGCGGTATTGCCTGAGACTACAGTGGCCGGTAAGCAAACTGACCACCAATGAGCACCTTCTATGGTCTGGAAGAAAAATTTGGGCTGTAAGAGTTCTGAAAGGTCCTACTATGTGGAGCCTAGCCCGTCTTATACCTCCACAACTGGCCTAGGAGTTCTGGAACCTCTGCAGAAGACGCTCTCTGAGACTACCCCCGAGTGAAGGGCACTCCAATCACAGGTTTGGGTCCCACCGGTACAATGAATGAACCCTGTCATACCAGTCCGTCAGCCTCTTTGTTTTCTTTCATGCCTGTGTGATCCGATACCCATATCAAGTTAACCCTATTAGTCCGAGTAATATCAGTAAGTGCTCTCTTGCACTCGAGAATCAGCTTACAGCTGACTTTGGAGCAAACCTTATCTATTATCTCCTGAACACATACCAGGATTGCAAAGATCTTCGCCTAAAAGACTGATGCATGGAAGCCGAGATTCTAATTCGATTCTGCTCTCATATACTCCGGCACCTGCCCGTCCGTCTATTTTAGAAATATCCGTAAACCACGTAAGCCCGCTTTGACCGAATAGTGCACTCTCTCGTTCCATCTACTCATCCCAGTCAGAAAGGTGACTAAGATGGAGGATGAGAACTTAAATTGGAGGGTCATGCTGTCCTGTACCATAGAAAACACAATACAACAATCGAGGGCCTGTCTCCAGATGTCACAATGGCCCATCCGTCCATTAATTCAAAACTAGTATCCAGAGCAGTTAATACGATAGACTACCCTTATGGCTTCGTGCTCTACAATAAGATGTAGAGACGGTAAATTCAGCAAAGCCTCAAGAGCCGCTGTGGGAGTGGTCCTCATTACCACTGAAATGCCAACGCATTCCAACCGCTGGAGGGAAGTTGCTGGCGAATGAGTAATGCTATTTAATATATACGTTGAACAAGTATTTAAAATTGTTTTAGAAAACACAGTGATTAACAATATTCGTTACACAGACGAAACAGCTAATCTAGCTGATAAGATAGAAGATCTGTAAGTGCTGCTGGTTACAAATACCAATCATACAGGAAACGAATATAGCTTAAAAATAAACATCTAAAAGACTAAATTTATAATCATTAGCAAGCAGCAAGATGATCAAGCACATTGGCTCAAAAACAATCAACAAATTTAAAAAGTTGAGAAATTTAAGTATCTTGGATCCACTTTATCAATCAAGTGGGAGAGCGATGAAGAAATTAAAATAAAAAGACGTATGGCTAAGGCAGCTTTTTTTAAATTCAAGAAAAATCTCATTTGGTAATAGGTACCTTTAAATCTTTGTCTTCGTGTGGTTATTTGCTATGTGTGTTCAGTATTATTGTATTGAAAGTATTACCAAAAAGATCGAGTTCGGACCAAGTAACCAATGAATAGATGTAGCGATGGGCTAGATAAGGCAGAGAACTGTTAAATGTGGTGAAACAGCGTCAGTTTTCTTATTTAAGAGACATCTTGCATGAATCAAGATAGGAATTTGCTCTTAAAACTTATACTAACGGTAAAAGTTAAAGGTAAAAGAAAACTACATTCCTAGCTTAGAAATTTAGAAAACTGGTGTGGTGTAAAAGATGTTTGGTCCATTTTTAGTATTTTATCTAAATACTGCATATATTTTAAAACAAGTCTGAGATTCCTATATTGAACTTTAGGTTATAGTATCATGATTTTCTATGATTTATTGATTTAGTTTATAGTTTTGTACTAATAAAAAAAAGACCAAAACAAATATTATAAAATATAATTTTAAATTTAATATACACAAAACTTAAATTAAAATAATATACAAATTCCTATAATTATTCTTCCTCGTCGTCGTTTGTATAACTTTCCGATTCTTCATCACCATCATCGGCACTGGAAGTATACGAAGATTTTTCACCATCATCTCCATCACTTTCTGCATCACTGTTAGAGTAAACTGAAATATATTTATTAAAATTAGGAACATTGTTTTACTTTGTTTTAATATCTATAAAGGGAAGTGTACTAAAGACTTACAAATTGTCACTGAAACTCCTTATTTTTGTCATTAGTGAACCATAACTTATTAACGATATCGCAAGAAGGTTTTAAAATATCTTCTTCTGCTTTCTTCTTGAATGTACGCTTTAAAGCCTGTTTCTTCTTCAATATTTGCCTCCTAAATTGTTTAAATTATCGTACCATCTTTTTCTTGGTCTGCCAATACTTTTTCGTCCATTTGGTGACTTATCTCGTGCTATTCGTACTATCTTATCCTCTGTCGTCCTACTAATGTGTTCGTTCCACCCCTATTTCCGTTTTGTCACCTATTCATTTATGTCTTCTATATTGTATGCTTGTCAGGCCATGACATTGGGGTTTCTTCATTGTAAAAATGACATGCACCCTATCCTCCATGCTATGGCAAGCTGGATAGGCCATACAGTATATAATCAACACCCCGAGATATGAGCGGGAACACAAGGTGCATTAATACTAATCCGCTTATAAAACGCACCTGGCGCATCATAAGAACCTTCACAAATTACTCTTTTTCAACTTGTCTTGAGTTATATGCCTTTAGTCTTTCAAAATGAGAAAAATCTAAAAGGAGGAGTCATCTAGAAAAACGTAAATCTGTCTTTTTGTGCCTTATTAATTATGGAGGTTGCCTATTACCGTGATAATTAATATCTTGTTGGCAAGTTGTCTAAATAGTTGAATATTTGTTAGGCAGGACCACTTGCGTACGAGGCATCCAAGAGTTTTTTCTTCCACTCAGATACTTTATTTTATCCACTTTTACCTAAAATTGCTGAAGGCGATATTTACTGTGTTTCATAACATGATCGAAGTATTCTAGATTTCTCTTCTTCGCTATAAACGCAATTTTCTTGTTCTTTACCCATTCTTTCCAGTACCTCTCTGTCAGTTATTTGGTATGGCCATGGTATTAGAAGAATTTTCCTCTAGATCCACACGTTGAAGGTTGAGAGTTTTTTCATTAATTGTCCTGTCAGGATCCATGCTTCCACCCCATATAGTAGAACTTGAAATACATAATATTTTGTTAATCGGATATTATTTTATAGTAGTAGTACAGTCCTGAACGTAATCCCCGTTATCATCTTCAATTTATTGTAGACAGTAATTCTACATGTTCTATAGGTATCCCATTTTATGTGAGATTTTAGGTCGATGTTCTGTTTTTCATAATTACCACCTATTTTGTTTTTGAGGCATTTAGTTTTAATCTGTAGTTTTCAAATACTTCTCTCGCTCTTTGTAGTAGAGTCTGCAGGTCTTTAAAGCTGCTTGCTATAGTGACAATATCGTTTTCTTATATCGAATGTTATTGATTAGTTCCCCATTCAAAAGTATGTGTTCTGTATTATCATAAGATACGTCGTCAAAGATTGCTTCAATTTTAATTGAAATCTTTTTTGGCAAGTCTTAGTATTTTATATTTGCCGATTGGTTCTAATATAGACTTATGATTCTGACTTTATTAGTTTTTTATACTTTACGTTATTGAACGTAATTAATAAATCTATAAAATACACAAATTCATTCTGGTTCATGTGTCTGCATCTTTGTATAAGTACTTAAAGAAAGAAAATAGCCTCCCTAAAGGAAAGAAAAAGAAGATTGGTTCATATCTTGTATATCTGCGATTGTGGATAATTTTAGTCAATACTTTTGTTATCGTATTTATAAGACTTGTTCGATAATTATCTTGTTTCTTGAGAGTATTCATAAATATTGGATCAGTGGTGGTTGGCGGTTCAATAAGTACTTAGCCTCATCACTAGACAGCGTCACTCTTTCGAGAGAAATCTACTTTCGTATAAAACAATCTCGTAGATGGCTAATGCCAAAACTCCAGCCGAATCGTACTCGTAGTTTTGTTTTACCGCGTGTCGAAGTAGACGTGTCTGCAGATTTTGGAAAAACAAAAAAAGAGCAATATCGGTCGGTGATTCGATTCTTGTTATTGAAAGTCAAATCACGTAGCGATTGAAACGAACAGTTCAAATGAACGGTACCCGGGAAACGTGCTCCGAAGGAGCGAAGACTGTCCTCTCAGCTGAAAAAGTGATGGCCACCATTTGCTGTGAATTTAAAGAGGTGATCTACATCGACTACCTGGAAAAAGATAAAATGGTCACAGTGCTCTTCTACGTGAAATTATTGGGCTAATCATCATCTGGCTTTACAACGTTGCGTGGGTCCTAGCCTCCTCAAGAATTTCTCTTCAGTCGTCCCTAACCATCGCTTTTCTCCGCCAAGCACGTATTCCCATATTTCTCATGTATTCATTGATGTAATCAAGAAACCTAGTTCTTGGTCTTTTATTTCTTCTCTGACCAAAAGAAGAAAATTATTGGGCTGTTGTCCCATCCAACATATTTTCCAGATTTGGCCTCGAGAGACTTCTTTTTGTTTTTAAACTTAAAACAGGCAGTAGCCGGGTAGACATTAAGTCGAATTAGAAGATCATCGCCGACAAGGACGCCTACTTTGCAGACCTCGGAAAAACGTATTTTTAGGACAGGTAACAACTAGCCCAGGTCAGAGAAGGATGGAGGGAAATCGTAAAAAAAACTGTGAAGACCTGATGGTGTCACCACATCCCAAAAGGGATTAGGACTGAGAAGGAAGTACTAAGTACTTATCGAACCACCCTACTAGAGAAGGTCGTCACATGTGAAATAATTTTTTTGTTTTAACATTTGATTAGTGACTCCCTCTATGTTCAAATATGCAGAATTTAAAACATATGCAAGACAAAGAACCAATTACAAATACTTTACAAAAAAATGTTTAAATATAGTTTAGTGATATTTTTGTGACCAAAAATTATTTCCAATCGTTGACCTAATATAATTTATTTTAATTTTAATAAAACGTCATCTTACGTGAAGAGTAAGGACTGGACTCCTCTTCCTCTTCAGCTTCTGAATTTGACTCACTATCAGCATATTTTTCAGATTCCCCTTCTCCTTCGTAATCTCCATAATATTGGCTGTTACTAAAAATTAAAATACACATATAAAATTTATAAAACTCAATATTATTGACTAAAAATGGTGGGGAGAATAACAATGAAAACATGAAACAGCAATTCTAAAGAATACAAGTTACCTTCTAAGCTTTCAGAATTCTGTTGCTGTTAAAATGGATATTCAGTTAAAAAAACCTATGAACCCTTCAACTGTATAATTTCCTTTAAATATATATATATATATATATATATATATATATATATATATATATATATATATATATATACATATATATATATATATATATATATATATATATACATATATATATATATATATATATATATACATAATATATATACTTTTTTTATTATATATAAGATCCTTCTGCAAATCGTCAATTGTTTATGTAATTAAATTTAGAAATTTGCAAACCAAAGAACTTTTTAAGATCTACAACTTTGATTTTAAACCAGTTTTCTCTAAACAGTCGAGTCGTCAGAGATTTGACCTCCAAAAATCATATAAACAAGCTTCCCTGAGAATGTCAATTTTGGAACCCCAGAGAATGTCAATTTTGGGACCCCAAAATATATGCAATGAAATTATTTTTCTTCTTTTTATATGGACATGACTCTGTCTGTTTTTCAATGTGCCTTCAGTAAGTTGTCCTTCCATCGATTTCGTGGTCTTCCTACTGATCATCTTCCTATTGGGGAATCGTCTCTTGCCGTTTTTACTACTCTATTTGTTGTCATTTGGCTTATATGATCGTTTTATTCTATTTTTCTATTTCTTACCCAGTTCTTTATGTTCTCCACCTTGCATCTACATCGTATATCTTTACTTCTAGCTCTGTCCCATAGTGTCTTTTCATCAATTTTTTCAAGTATCTTTGCTATTTCTAACATCCTTTTTGTCCTTTCTCTGTCAGGTTTTGTTTCTGCCGCGTATGTAATTATTGGTCTCATAACTGTTTTGTAAATTCTGCCTTTCATTTCTTTCCCGATATTTTTATTTCTTCATATTGTTTCATTTAGGCAGCCTGTGGTTCTGTTTGATCTATTTCAGGGGTGTCCAACTTGCAATGCCTTAAAGGCCAAAATTAATACCTTTGATGTTGTCGCGGGTCATATAAAAATTTTGTTACAAGTAATAACGAAATAGAGTAAGTTATAAAAATAATTAAAACAAAAAAGAGTATTATTTCTTTTATTGCTCAATAACTACATTTTTTTATAAACGGAAAATTTATTGATAACACTTTTCAATAATCAAGACAAACATTGCAAAAGCAACGAAAAAGATGTATCCAATTACTGTGAGGACTGTGGTCGATCGAAGATGAATGAAGAAATGTTCACCTCCATTTCAGTTGTAGACACTCTCATGAGATTAAGTATGGAAGAATCGGTAAAGTTGCTTCTGTTTTTATTTTTAATGTATTTCTTGGAGGAAAAGGCACTTTCACATGTATATGTGCTTCCGAACATTGACGTCATTTTCAATCCAAAATGTCGCAGGTTTGGGAATTTCTCCTTTGACAGTAATTTGAAAAATTCAAGTCCCTTTTCTTGTCTGTTGATAAGAAACATGTCTGCTTGAAGATCACATAACTCAAGCTGTAAGTTGGGTGGTTTATCATCAATGGTTGCTCCAAGAGGGTTATTATAAAGTGGTACACTGCTTTTGAGACTTTCAATTTCTTCAAGTCTTGTATTGAATTCATTAATAACTTGTTCCATGTTGCCATCAGTGAAAAGATTTTTGCCTTTGAGAGTGTAATATTTTATTAAACATACCAGTTTTCTGTTTAAGCTTTTTCTTCAAATCTGCAACTAAGGCACGCGCTGACTTTCATTTGTGTACGTAGCATACTTATTTTTATGCACTGTTGTATAATGATTTCTCACATTATATTCTTTAGGCACTGAAACGACATTCATGCACACTAAGCACTGCAACTTTCCATTATTGTTAGCAATCAAGTAATCACTCTCCCAACTTTCTTTATAAATTCTGTTCTCACTATCAATTTTCCGTTTTACTGGTTTTACACTCATTATTGTATAAGAAGAATCAAGACAAAGAATTAATCAAGTTCACTGTTCACTAGCAACGTAACAGATTAGCCGACTAGCCTACGTGTCAGTAGCACACTAGCACGATGGCGGCTGGCGACAGATGGTAAGCAGTGGGAGGTGTGGCCTGCGTGAACTGTGATGCGCAGTAATCAGTGCAGTTCTCATAGTAGTGGAGGACGATTGTGTTTGTTACACGTCCTCGTTAGTTCAGTTGCATTCTCGTCTCTGATGACGAGAGTAAAAATGTATCTCCAAAAAAAAATTTTTTCACTTTTTCATCATTATTCTTGTTTTACAACCCTGCGTGGGTCTTAGCCTCCTCAAGAATTTCTCTCCAGTCGTCCGTATCCATCGCCTTTCTCCGCCATGCACGTAGTCCCATATTTCTCATATCTTCCTTGATCTTATCAAGGAACCTTGTTTGGGTCTTCTTCTTCGTCTCTGACCAATGGGTCTATCAAGGAGCGTTTTCTAGCTGAGTCATTTTGTCCCATTCGCATTACATGCCCTGTTCACCTCAGACGTCCTATCTTAATATGTTTTACAATATTAGGTTCCTGGTATATTTTATAAAGTTCGAAGTTGTATCGTCTCTCTACACTCCATTGTCATTTACTACTACGTAGATTCGCCTCAGTACTTTTTTTTCGAAACATGCTAACATGTTTTCATTATTTTTTGTTGAGGGTCCAGGTCTCTGAACCATATACAGAACTAGGCGTATTATTGTTTTGTAGAGTTTAATTTTTGTATTTTTTGATATAATTGTGGATTTAAGGAAAAGATTGAGACCAACATAGCATCTGTTGGCCATGCAAATTCTGCGGTTTATCTCTGCTGTAGTATTATTTTCAGTGTTATACATAACCAAGTTGCAGTTTGGCTCTGTAATTGTGGTTTTGCTTGGCTTATCGTTTGCCAGACGTAATTGGCCGAAAAGTGTGTGACTTGAGTTAACCAAACATCTCGTTGAGCGACCTTCAGTTTCATTTGTGTTTGGGTAAACGTCGTGTTTCATCCTTACCACATAAAATCATTCTAGTACAAAACTCCTCGTTGGTAGAGCTGGGAATTCATATTCCTTGGATCAGAAATACGAGCACTTTTTAGAGCACGTACTCTGATTTGGCGAATATTGATTGCTAATTGTACAGGGTGTACCCGATTGGTACTGTGCGCCATATTCTAGCTTTGGCCGGTCCCATTGGGTTCCTTGAGTCAGTGCACCAGTGCAGTTACTAGCCAGTCGGATTTTTCGAACTCCTTTAAGGCTGTACACCCTTCCAGATTCCTGGAAGCCTTGTTTTTAAATTAACGTAGATCCCAAAATATCTAAGTGCTGAGTAAGTTATTGTTTCTTACTCATCCAGTTACTTTACACGCCATCGAACGAGATGGTTCAACGAGATGCGTATAACTGGTAGCTCGAGCAAAAGTAAGAGAATCCCGGTAGGCTGGTGAGATTCACCTACGAGGATCTCATCCAAATGGGGCAAGAGGAATTCTGGTACGAAGGCCGGTTCATTCTGAAGCATTCGATGGAATTTTTTTTTGACAATACTAAGCAACAGATCCACCTTACTCGAGTTAGGGTAAGCAAGAATACAAGGAATTGCTCAAAAGTCTCAAGGAGTAAGAACGACGTAGGAATTAGTCTCCGAGTCCCGGCGGTGAAGCAAACTGTGCCTCTTCGGAAGGAGAACCCTCGCCGGTGAGAGGACCAACTCAGGGTGAATCAGATACCCTCTCGTCCTCCGGGCTCAACAACGCAGGTCAGCACGGCGACACCCCACTGTCCGTTGATGTGCAGAATTACAAAGTTGATGAGCCTGTTCCGTTGAGAGACCGTGGGACGATTGCGTCTTACATAAACAATTATCTCAACAGCAAGAACGGATGGTCGGAAGTAGAAACCCAGTTATATAGGTAAACTCAATTCACGAATGTTAAGCGACATCATGAGGGTATCAGGTCTATTTTAAATGAGTATACCGCTACAGAGTTTGTCACTGTAAATGCCGGGAAGCGAAAACAACAGCCAAAACAAAACCAGAATTCGATAGCTTCTAACGCCCCGGCTATCGAAAATAGACGGCATTAAAGGGCTCAACGATACCATTTGACATATAGCATATATATTTAACAGGATACCATACCGACAGATCCTCTCTGGCTCGAGCAATCATAGATGACAGGCCTCTCTTTGGTAACGATGAACACCCTGACATCATAGCTGTTGAACGGGAATATTGGACGATTTTTTCATCAAGATTGCTTACAGATGACGAATTAATTTCAGATCAGAAAGAACCGCTACTGATCAGCCATGCTGTAACAGAAGCGGAAATCCTCGGGGTCTTTTAAACCATAAAATCTCAAGCAGCCAGTCTTGATTTTATTAAGATCCGAGAGCTGCCTAAGGTACCTGTTGAGAAATTGGTTCTAGTCCATAATACTATGCTCCAGTTTGGTGTTACTCCTGAGGTATTGAAGGATTGCAGGACCACTTTGATACTGAAGGGTAGCGATCCACTGGAGGAAGGTAATTGGCGTCCAGTTACCATATCATCAGTAGTGATCAGGGTATTGCATCGTCTGCTAGGAAAGAGGCTTGCGGTGCTAGATTTCCACGAGCTTCAGAGAGGCTTGTGGCAGGTAGATGGCCTTATATTGAACAACCTGACGCTTCAGACGGTTATCAAGGAACGAAGAAGAGGCCTTAGTCAATACAACATTATATCCATCCACTTACGAAAAGCTTGCGATACGGTCTCACAACGATCTATTAAACGGGCAATAAATCGCTTCTGGTTGGACGCTACATTTAAGAGGTATGTGGTGGACTCGTACCTGAATTGTCGTACTTGGGTCGATGGCGGAAACAAGTACACATCGAACATTAAGATGAGTAGAGGCCTCAAACAGGGATCTACCTTACTTCT